CATGTATAATTTCCCCATTGAAATGTTTTTGTCTTATTCACTCTTCCCACATAATTTAAAACTATAAACATTCGTCACTTACATTTACATTTAATTGTCACGTATATATTTTAATAAAACGTTTTGGCTTCCCATAATTAAGCAAATTTTTTTGTCTACACAATTTAGCATGAGCAGACAAAATACTTGTGTTGACTTATACGCAATTTCCCAATAATCATGGCTGTTTGTTAAGCAAAAACAGAAGCCTGGGTAAACTAAAACCTGCTCACAGAATTTATTTATTTATTTATTTTTTAAATCTGGTGATTTTTCTTTAGTGGAAGATCTAAACCTCTCTGAGGACCAATTTTTTTACATGAAGGAAAAACACAATTTTCCTGCATATAAAGCCCAAACTCACTTCCTGCAAAGCTGGGTGTTTAATTCAATATGTTAACAATCAAACTATTGACCCACTCACACGTAAGCAGCCCTCCTGTTTTATTCAAAAACAGGATACAGCCGCTGTCAGGGAAACTGTACGTGGATCTGTCTGAGGGAGCTCTGAGAAGGCACCCAGGAGCACCTGCTGTCGTTGTCAATCACCGGTGGGAAACACGAGATCCCATTACACCCTGCCCTATCCATGTTTGGCTATCTTGCTGAGGCAATGGGCACTGTGTCGAGGATAGAAATAGGCTATATTTAGGCTGTCCCACTCATTCACGAGCAAACAGGACACACTGCAGAGGTCCTGTGGCCTGCAGAGTCGCCCTTGAAAGCAAGCAGAGGTGCTGCAGTAAGGCCACCGAAAGGGTTGAGTTCAAACAGCTGCAGATGTGCCTGACCAACATGTCAAAATCGGAATTATCAGGGTTATAACTCATGTCTGACTATCCAATAAAAATTGAAAAATTGTTCAGTTTATTAGAATAATTATTTAAGCGTGAGCAAATTTACAATATATAAAGTTGGGGAAATCTCTCATTCACATTTACAGCTCGGTAACGGGGCCAAGAACAGCAGCAAGTCCGACAAAAAGTAGTGCTGCCCGTGATGACTTCCGTGTTTACACTCCTCACCCGTTCCCTCCAGTTCTCCTCGAAGAGGCACACAAATCCTCCTGTCACTCAACACTCGCTTTGCCTCCTATTGGCTGTCGCTCAGTTCAAAAGCCTGCCCCCAGACGCATCTGATTGGACTGCTGCTTACGTTCGTAAGCAGCGCGCGCACTACAGGACTAACGGACGAGTCAATCAAACACACGCCCCGCCCCCTCACATAAACAATGCTTCCGCCATCGAAATATTAGAAAAAAATACTTTGACATTAACATTAAACAGAGGCGGAAACAAACGCGGCATTTAAGCGATAAACGCCCGTTAGTGAAAATCAGGAAACACGCAGGTGAAGAGAGTTTGTAGCTCGAAAGCTGAAGCCAACAACAAACGGCTACAAGGAAGAAAGCGCGTGAGCCAGGCCGTCCCACGCGCCTGCATAGCGGCTGCACAGGACGGTAACGGAAACCGTGAAACACACAACCACACACACCAAAACCCGAGACCCAGAGGGTGCCACCGTGAGCCGATCACACATTAATCCACAAACATGACACAGGACGGCGCCTCACTCCCCGGAGCTGCTAATCAAGGATCAGCCTGCAGATTATTCAGG